TCCGAGTATTAAGCTATATCAGTACTATATCTTTCAAATGTTCTTCTCATATCCTATAAAGGCTAGCAGAGGGTCCGCACTGTAGATGGGTAAAGCAACTGATATATAGCTATAATTTGTCCTATAGAGGTACCGAGAAAAGTTTAACTAATTTTTGACAACACTCATCACAAATAGAGTTTTATATTCAGTAGTCGTTTAACCCGAGATGTCTGTGTTAGCCTAATTTCACTATTATATATCCATATATTACTATACTCCTTCATTTACAAGTGCAAAAAACTTGCGTCAATTGCAACGCTATGTGGCAAGTCAGTAAATACTAAAGAGTTATGTTCGATGTGTCTTATGTCGACTTTAACCTTAATTAACTCTTCTATACGTAATCACTACACTCTTAGTCTATAAAATTCATAACAGCTCGATTAAGGCTCATGATTGGATATAGTGAATGTGATCTCACTAAAACACTCGGTCTTGGAATTGAATATATGCTCCGCCAGAAGGCCGACGTTGTTATTGGGCCTCCATGTCCTGAAGGTTTGTTTGCCTAACGCGTCTACAATTGCTGAAACCTACGTTGAATTATGCGGCAAGTATAAAAATGGTACGATTAATGCTTTATCGTTCCTAAAATCTTATCTTATATGAACAAGGAGGTTAACCTCATAAGGGTACAAAAAAGAATTGCTGGGTTACGTATAGTAGTTTGAGACTGCGATAATTTGATAGAGTTAGAGTGGTTTATAAGCGTTCGATTGCTAGCAAACTGCTCGCATGGGAATTGCCCGAAAGCGATCCATTTGTGGACCATAATTGATTGGTAATTAAAATGAACACTAGCATAGAAAATAAATTTTCAAGAAAATAATTGTTCCACTGTGGTGATTGTTATTTTTTGTCAATTTTGTTTGTTGGAGCAGCTATCATGATGGCACATCTCTCAAACATCTACCAAACGGCATGGATGGGTTGGGGTTATGTCTTCAGTCCTGAATTTACCCTCTCCAATAAATACCCATATGGAACGACGCTGGTGCCGTCATCGAACTCGTGAGTCTTCTTTTTCCTATAACA